TGATAATCAGGACCAAACAGGTGTTTTGTTTTGGTGTACACTCTTAAAAATAAAGGTGCTTCACGATGCCATAGAAGAACCTTTTTGTCTAAATGGTTCCATAAAGAACCTTTAACATCTGAAGAACCTTTCTGTTTCTCAAAAGCTTCTTTGTGGTGAAAGAAGGTTCTTCAGATTATAAAAAGGTAAGAAAGAGATGCTTCTTTGACTGAATGGTTCTTTGTGGAACCAAAAATGGTTCTTCTATGGCATCGCTTGAAGAACCGTTTGAAGCACCTTTATTTTTAAGAGTGTATGTTGGGCACGAGCTCCGCCCTCTTCTGGAAAAGGGGCGGGTAGCAGCAGCTCATTTGCATTTAAAGATACATGCAAATGTTTTTGCTTCTGTTAAAAAATGGTCATTTTCAGCGTGGAATACTAAAGGGGTCATGAACTGAGAAAACAATATTCCCTATATCTTTTGACATATAAGAGGTCATTGTAATTAAGTGAATGTGTTTAGTAAACAATAACCAGCTTTATATATTTATTATCAATAAAACCATTTTTTTTCATTCTCATATTTTAATTAAACATATTTTTCCCCCACAACTAACCATTTTTTTAACCATGTTCATAATTTTAAACTGAGAAATATTCATTAGCATACATTAAAATAAATTTCCTTAAGGCAAAAAAAATAAATAAATAAATAAATCTGGCCAAAATATATTTTAAATATATGTCAACTATATATTGTAATGAGTGAAGCTCAAAACATATTTCAAGGGCACATTTTTATATTTCCAATTTTTCTTAAAATGTGACATGTGAATGTATTTTCATTGGACTGAAATATATGGAGTGCAAAATATACTTTTATAAAAATATATAGTTAGATATTTTCTGTATACACACACACACACGCCAACACATTTATATGCAATTCAAATACATAAATCTTAAATTTAGGCCTAAATATTTATGTGAGTGCATTAAGGTGAATAAATAATGGCCGACTGTTAAATTTTGGCTGAACGACTCCTTAAACATTGAGTGTTAGCAGCCTCAGTTCTTGAAGATAATTGTCCTTGTGAGGTTTCATGCCAGGAAACTCGAGCAGGTGCAGCATGCTCTTGAGGGGGCGGGACAGGAAGTACGAGAGACAGGAAGTGAGGTGTTTCAATGGGTGTTCGTGCTGCTCAAACGTGTCCAGTTAAACCGCTCAACCGGGATGAATTAGGACCGTACACTACAGCCAGAATTCACAACCAGAGAGCAGCGTCAACATTTGCTTTCATTTAATGTTGCTCCAAACAGAAAGCCAGAAAGTACATGAGCTTACAGGTTTGGAACGACATGAGGATAAGTAAATGATGGCAGAATTCTGGCTGTAGAGCAGCGGTGTATAGAGATGTTAAAGGAAACCTGTCCACACACCTTGCAGAAGACCACAGTCCCTTCCTCCTGGTGCAAGAGCCCAGAGGAGACGGGAACGACAAGAAACAAGGACATTGTCATAGTTGGAGAGAACAGAGAGAAGAACACAATTCACACGGGACGTTAAGTTGCGTTCACATCAGGCAGATTTACCGTAATTATGAGGCGACTCTGAGATTCTGCTCTGAACTCACTGAATCATTCGGAATCATTTGTTTCTAAGACAACACTGGATGTCAAATGGATCCATGCATGTGTGGCTAATCTTGAATAGGTTTGGGGGATGGAGAATCATTTCCATTTTTTAATTAATTAAATGATTTTCACGGTTCTCTTAAAGGAGTAGTTCAACCAAATTTGAAAATTTGCTGGAAATGTGCTCACCGTCAGGCCATCCAAGATGTAGATGAGTTTGTTTCTTCATCAGAAATGTAGCATTGCATCAGTGTCTCAGCAATGGATGCCCTGTAGTGAATGGGTGCCGTCAGAATGAGAGTCCAAACAGCTGATAAAAACATCACAATAATCCACAGCACTCCAGTCCATCAGTTAATGTCTTGAGGATACAAAAGCTGCGTGTTTGTAAGAAACAAATCCATTATAACGAGATTTTTAACTTCAAACCCTTGTTTCTGACTAAAATATGAGTCCAGAAATCCATGCTTCCTCCAGTGAAAAAGTGTTCAGGTCTGAATCAGGAGAGAAATCTGCACAGATCAAGCAGCGTTTAAACAGCTCTAAACAAATGTGTGGCTGGATTTTGATGTGAGAGACAACAGGAGATGCCCTTTTTCACCGGAGGACGCGTTATTATGGATTATGGATTCATATTTTAGCCAAAAGCAACGGTTTGACGTTAAAAACGTCTTAATGCTGGATTTGTTTCAGCTTTTGTCTTCTCCAGATGTTAACTAATGGACTGGAGTGCTGTGGATTACTGTGATGTTTTTATCAGCTGTTTGGACTCTCATTCTGACGGCACCCATTCACTGCAGAGCATCCATTGCTGAGCAAGTGATATAATGCTACATTTCTGCAAATCTGATGAAAAAACAAACTCATCCTAATCTTGGATGTCCTGAGTGTGAGTATATGTACACCAAATGATCATTTTTGGGTGAACTATTCCTTAAAGTTGTCATGAACAGTTCTTTACTGCCAATGCTAAACAAACACTGTGCTAAAATACTAAAGTGTTTGCAGCAGTAGGAAATAAGTGAGATTAGAAAGAAATACTGGATGAGGCAAAACAATACTAATAATATAAATAGACAGCATGTCTTTTTATTGCACTGTCTGCTCTGGATGGAATTCAACATAATGGATTTGTTGTATTTAATAAAAGTAAAAGATTAAAAATCTGTCTCAACTCATATTGGTTTCAATAATTCTAACAATTCACACTGAATTACTGAATCACTCAGAGAAGTAATCATTATAAATCATTACTTTTGTCAAACTACTCAAATACTTATTAAAATGATAATTATTGATTGTTACTGTATTTTGTGAGAAGTGTGTAATTTCTGACTGGCTGGTTAGAGAACATAAAAATTAGGATACATTTTTTTTAATATAAAATGAAATAATAAAATAAAGTGTTACAGCAGTATTGCTTTTATTTTATGATCATTACAAATCATTACTTCTGTCATGTAAAACTCAAATAAAATATTAACCCAAATTACTGAAATGATAATTATTTATTGTTACTGTATTTTTTGACAATTAATGTAATTTGTCATTTCCAACTGGCGGTTCAGTGAACATCTAAAGATACACATTAAATAAATGAGAAATAAAATATAAAATATAACAAATAAAATAGTTACCAAAAACAATAATGTTTTTTTTTTGTTTATTTAAAATAAAATAATAAATAAGATAAAATAAATGTTAGCAAAACAGTACTGTTTTTGTTTAGTTTATTTGTTAAGTATATAATTAGGCCTAATTAATCTTTAAGTACTGAAAGAGTCATTAGCTATATTTCCATCCAAAGATGCAAATTTAACTTATGCACAAAACTGGAATATCGCATAAAACATTTGCGAATAAAGCACCATTTCAATCCAGCGAGTCAAAGAAAACAAAATCGTCACTTCCTGATAAACTGGCACTAAATATCTCTAAGAAAACTAGGAGAAGCCACTGAATATAATAATTTGCATATGTAATAAATTACTTGCACTTCAGAGAGAGCAGACGTAACACAATAAATGCAGGCATTGCTTTTAGAGGTGGATACTGCTGTTTGGGAATGCAGTCGTGTTAGACAGTAATTATACAGAAATACTTTGATGACAGACTTTCCTCAGGCATTTCAGAACGACCAAAACAGCATATAGATGCATTGAAACGAGATCGGTTTTCTTATCGGATAAAAAGTTTATCCTACTCAGTTGTGCGCATAAAAATATTTATTTTTAGAATTTATGCGCATCTTGGCGTTTCCATCCAGGGTTTTTTAAATGCGATAATCCAAAATGCGCATAAAGATAGGTGGATGCAAACATAGCTATTGATGAAATCATAAAGCAATTAGACTGATATAAAGGACTAAACTGAATTAGAAACGGAACCAGAATCTTGACATTCTAATCTTGAAGAAACACAGAAAAAGCGCTCCAGGTAACTCTTGACTAACCAGTGACATATAACTCATCAGTATGTGTTGATGTAGGAAACTAACCAGCTGTAGCTGCCGAAGCCTGATGTCAAGAGGAAGAAGCTGGAACTGCTTGGACCTTCTAGTTGCAACTAATCAGACTCATAATTACGGTAATTCAGACATTCATGAACGCAGCTTTACAGTAAGGGACGTTCAACAGCTTCACTCACACAGACAGTTAGTGGGAAACATTGCTGTGCAGTCTTCAGAAACATTGATTAGATTACTAACCTGTTTTCCTCCCATGGACTCGAACATCTTCTCCAGCTGAACTCGGAGCTGCTGGATGTTGTTCAAGAGGATGCAGGACTGTCAGGAGAAGAAAGATAGACAAGATATTTCATGACTGATCGATTGCACTGCTTTCCAGATAGTTTTCAAAACTCTCCGCCTGGCTAATGCAAGGAGACGTCTGTACTAGAAGACTTCTGTGAATATATACACAGGGCATCGATTCGTCTGGATGCTGATCGTTGATTTTGCACATCTTACTTTCATCAGTGGCAGGAAATCTGAATTTCATTACACAGAAATCTATGCCTCCGCATCTTCAGAGAAATGGCAGATTTACACAACGGAACACACTTGAGTTGTATTTAAACACTCATTTCCTTTTGAAGATACATGAAATTAATTCACAGCAACTGTTTTCTTAAAGCATAATGTTTCCTTGTATCTAATAATATTTAAAGTCAGTTGTATTTTGTTACACTGTAATAGTTATTATATTAGTTAATAGTCATAATCATAATAGTTATTAATGCATCTGACAGGTTGCCCTATAATGCACAATTTAATACATTTGAATTCTAATGCATTGCATGTTTTCATTATAGATCAATATAATATTCATAAATTCTCAATATCTAACGATAGATAGATAGAGAGAGAGAGAGATAGAATAAACAAAAATTAAAAAATAACATTTACTATTGTTATAGTACTATTGTTGTTCTTGTTATAAAAATTATGCATTATTTATTTTTATGATTTTGGCAGATAAACAAATTAATAGAGTGCATTAGAAAAAAAGAATATATATATATATATATATATATAATATAAATAATACAATAATGATTATACTTATTATTATTGTTTATTTGTTTGTTATTATTTTAGGGAAACAAATAAAACTATTAAAATAATGCATTACACTGCATTAGAAAAAACAGAAAAATATAATATAAATAATCTAATAATGATGATACTTACTATTATTATTATATTATTAAAATAGACAAAAATGTATTATTATTATTTAGTTATTTATTTATTTTGGGGAAAAACAAATGAAAAGAATGCATTAGAACGTACAGTATGAATATCTTTAAAACCACCTCCCAAATACATTACAAGCATGTTATTTTATGTGTAGAATGACATCTGTAATTGAAAAAGGTTAATAAACCATCAAACTCAATAATCGGACTGATGGTAGACTAAGGTTTAAGATGACCTTCAGACTGAGTGTGACAGCAAAGCGACTGACCCCGGGTTCCTGAGACGCAATGCACTTTGGGTAAATAGTGTCTGTTCCAGTAAATGTTAAAGAAGCAGATTTGTGTTTTAAAATAGACAAAAATGTATTATTATTATTTAGTTATTTATTTATTTTGGGGAAAAACAAATGAAAAGAATGCATTAGAACGTATAGTATGAATATCTTTAAAACCACCTCCCAAATACATTACAAGCATGTTATTTTATGTGTAGAATGACATCTGTAATTGAAAAAGGTTAATAAACCATCAAACTCAATAATCGGACTGATGGTAGACTAAGGTTTAAGATGACCTTCAGACTGAGTGTGACAGCAAAGCGACTGACCCCGGGTTCCTGAGACGCAATGCACTTTGGGTAAATAGTGTCTGTTCCAGTAAATGTTAAAGAAGCAGATTTGTGTTGACACACAGATGAACTAGAGATCCGGCAGTCATAACGCTCTTGTATAAGCGTCCCAAGAGTTAATTGGATGGGTAGGAGTGTGTAATTAGCGCAGGAGTCCATAAGCTAATTAAAACGGGCTCTTACTGTCTGCACCGACACACTTCCTAAAGGTCACATGTCAGCCGTGTGACAAATAGCTCTGAAACTAAAATACGAAGCCGTCGCACTAATTGAAACGAGGGAACATCGTCTCTGTGACGAGAGCGGCTGATTTCACACACTCGTAAATTTAATTCAAGACAATGTATATAAACTCCGGTGAGCTGATTTATGGGCATCGGTGCGTTTAAAGATGTAGATATTCTTAGGATGAGCCGAGCTGTCAATTAAGCGATGGATGAACCCCGAGGAGCGGCTCTGTCCTCTGAGACCGAACAGAGATATGTCTTTAATTACCGGCCGCGTCATTGTCTCTCTGTGGTCCTGTCACGGCACTTAAAAGATACATCTGTCTTTCTTCCCACCGCAGACGTCCTGCGTGTCAAGCTTTTATAATCATTACAGGAAGACACGGTGAAAATTCGAGGTAGAACAAAAGCAGCTCTGAGTTAGCGCCGCGAATCATGTCATATTGCACAAAGAGCATAAAGTCGAAAGCACAGAGGAAGGAGACGAGGACGCGAGAAGGTCTCGCAAGTTATTTGTTAGAAACGAAGGAAGCATCCGCAAGCCGTCCAATCAAATCCTTTATGATCTGATCAAGCCACACTCGCAGGGTCATGACTTTAAAACACGAAGACATTTTATGACAAAGCAGATTTGTATGTGTGTGAGTGTGTAGGAAGTTCATAGACTCACCACTTTCTCTTTGTTCAGATGGTTGTTGAAGTCTTTAGAGATGATCACAGCATACTGGAGAAGAACTTTATTTATGGTCTGGAAAGAGAATAAAATGTGGATTATTATTCAATTCAATTCAAGTTGATTTGTATAGCCATTTTCACGATGCAAATCGTTGCAAAGCAGCTTTACAGAAAATTAAAGTTTCAACATTATATTTAGTTGTAGCTTATCAGCGGTGACTATCTCAAGTTGATGTCCATATGGCAGAAATGCACGGTAAAAATCAAGCAGTTAGTTAATGACATGTAATCAAACAGACGGTGAACACTATTAACAGCAATGATTATATGTTGCGATCAAACTTATAGCATTATTATATTATAACCTATAGCTTATTACATACTGGTAAAAAATGTATAGCCTGAATGCACTGTAAGTCGCTTTAGATAAAAGCGTCTGCTAAATGCTTAAATTATTAAATTAAATTATTATCATTATCATATATTATAAAACACAGTAGTTTAATTTTATAGAAGCCATAAGTTGGGTTTGTGTTACTGTTATTATTTATAGACCTAAAACACATATGCATTCACTACCAGTCAAAAGTTTAGGGACACTAAGCATTTATCTGATCGAAAATACAGTAACAATTTTTTTAATATTAGTATAATTTAAAATTAGTGTTTTGTATATGCGTATATGTTCAAATTTAATTTATTCCTTTGATGCGCAGCTGTATTTTCAGCATCATTCCTCCAGTCTTCAGTGTCACATGATCTTCAGAAATCAGTATAATATGCTGATCTGCTGCTCAAGAAACATTTCTGATTATTTCAATGTTGAAAAAACATTTATTATATTTGTAATTTAATAATTGTATCATTTCAATGTTTTAATACTTAATGTTTTTTGCATAAAAAGTGATTTTTTTTCAGGATTCTTTGATGAATAGAAAGTTCAAAAGAACAGCATTTATTTGAAATGGAAATCTTTTCTAACAGTATAAATGTCTTTACTGTCACTTTTGATCAATTTAATGCTTCCTTGCTGAAAAAAATATATAAATTTCTTAAAAAAAAGAGACTTTTTAATACTAACACAATTGTAGCCCATGTGACGACGTGTGTGCTTGCATCCATCAAAACAGTTTGGGAACTTTGAGATTAGTAACCTGGAGCCAAGGAAATAGAATACAGCTCTTAACATATTCATAAATATGTAAATAAGTAAATGAGGGCAGTAATGATATGCGTCTTGTAAGGCCGCCGTAATAGATTTCTCGTGTCAAGTTTGCATGAAGTAATCAATGCCTCATACAAAACCCTTTACCCATAATCCTGTGGGATGAGCGCCTCTCTCTCTCTCTCTGCCCTTTGCAGTTCATTTGCATTCACAATAGCTGGCATTATACATTAGCTGGCCTAAAATCTCTTATAAAATCTGCTATGTGTTTGAGCGAGTGAGCATGATCACTGTTTTCATAAGCTGTTTGAGTTGATGTGTTCATTTGTGGTGTTTTCAAAGTTAACCATTACTATTGCTAAAAGGTTTAGCGACGTGATCAAACCTCTAACATCTTGGCTAAAAACGTGTTAATATATAAATGTTATAATATATAAGTATAATAATTAAAGGAATAGCTGAACGGGTGCCGTCAGAATGAGAGTCCATCACGATGCAAATCGTTGCAAAGCAGCTTTACAGAAAATTAAAGTTTCAACATTATATTTAGTTGTAGCTTATCAGCGGTGACTATCTCAAGTTGATGTCCATATGGCAGAAATGCACGGTAAAAATCAAGCAGTTAGTTAATGACATGTAATCAAACAGACGGTGAACACTATTAACAGCAATGATTATATGTTGCGATCAAACTTATAGCATTATTATATTATAACCTATAGCTTATTACATACTGGTAAAAAATGTATAGCCTGAATGCACTGTAAGTCGCTTTAGATAAAAGCGTCTGCTAAATGCTTAAATTATTAAATTAAATTATTATCATTATCATATATTATAAAACACAGTAGTTTAATTTTATAGAAGCCATAAGTTGGGTTTGTGTTACTGTTATTATTTATAGACCTAAAACACATATGCATTCACTACCAGTCAAAAGTTTAGGGACACTAAGCATTTATCTGATCGAAAATACAGTAACAATTTTTTTAATATTAGTATAATTTAAAATTAGTGTTTTGTATATGCGTATATGTTCAAATTTAATTTATTCCTTTGATGCGCAGCTGTATTTTCAGCATCATTCCTCCAGTCTTCAGTGTCACATGATCTTCAGAAATCAGTATAATATGCTGATCTGCTGCTCAAGAAACATTTCTGATTATTTCAATGTTGAAAAAACATTTATTATATTTGTAATTTAATAATTGTATCATTTCAATGTTTTAATACTTAATGTTTTTTGCATAAAAAGTGATTTTTTTTCAGGATTCTTTGATGAATAGAAAGTTCAAAAGAACAGCATTTATTTGAAATGGAAATCTTTTCTAACAGTATAAATGTCTTTACTGTCACTTTTGATCAATTTAATGCTTCCTTGCTGAAAAAAATCGCTTTAGATAAAAGCGTCTGCTAAATGCTTAAATTATTAAATTAAATTATTATCATTATCATATATTATAAAACACAGTAGTTTAATTTTATAGAAGCCATAAGTTGGGTTTGTGTTACTGTTATTATTTATAGACCTAAAACACATATGCATTCACTACCAGTCAAAAGTTTAGGGACACTAAGCATTTATCTGATCGAAAATACAGTAACAATTTTTTTAATATTAGTATAATTTAAAATTAGTGTTTTGTATATGCGTATATGTTCAAATTTAATTTATTCCTTTGATGTGCAGCTGTATTTTCAGCATCATTCCTCCAGTCTTCAGTGTCACATGATCTTCAGAAATCAGTATAATATGCTGATCTGCTGCTCAAGAAACATTTCTGATTATTTCAATGTTGAAAAAACATTTATTATATTTGTAATTTAATAATTGTATCATTTCAATGTTTTAATACTTAATGTTTTTTGCATAAAAAGTGATTTTTTTTCAGGATTCTTTGATGAATAGAAAGTTCAAAAGAACAGCATTTATTTGAAATGGAAATCTTTTCTAACAGTATAAATGTCTTTACTGTCACTTTTGATCAATTTAATGCTTCCTTGCTGAAAAAAATATATAAATTTCTTAAAAAAAAGAGACTTTTTAATACTAACACAATTGTAGCCCATGTGACGACGTGTGTGCTTGCATCCATCAAAACAGTTTGGGAACTTTGAGATTAGTAACCTGGAGCCAAGGAAATAGAATACAGCTCTTAACATATTCATAAATATGTAAATAAGTAAATGAGGGCAGTAATGATATGCGTCTTGTAAGGCCGCCGTAATAGATTTCTCGTGTCAAGTTTGCATGAAGTAATCAATGCCTCATACAAAACCCTTTACCCATAATCCTGTGGGATGAGCGCCTCTCTCTCTCTCTCTGCCCTTTGCAGTTCATTTGCATTCACAATAGCTGGCATTATACATTAGCTGGCCTAAAATCTCTTATAAAATCTGCTATGTGTTTGAGCGAGTGAGCATGATCACTGTTTTCATAAGCTGTTTGAGTTGATGTGTTCATTTGTGGTGTTTTCAAAGTTAACCATTACTATTGCTAAAAGGTTTAGCGACGTGATCAAACCTCTAACATCTTGGCTAAAAACGTGTTAATATATAAATGTTATAATATATAAGTATAATAATTAAAGGAATAGCTGAACGGGTGCCGTCAGAATGAGAGTCCAAACAGCTGATAAAAACATCACATCTGGAGAAGACAAAAGCTGAGACAAATCCAGCATTTAGACGTTTCTAAAACGTTGCTTCCAGCTAAAATATGAGTCCATAATCCATAATAACGCTTCCTCCAGTGAAAAAGTGCATCTCCTGTTGTCTCTCACATCAAAATCCAGTCACATATTAGTTTAGAGCTGTTTCGGTTTGTATAAACAGTGCTTGATCTGTGCAGATTTCTCTCCTGATTCAGACCAGACCACTTTTTCACTAAAGAAAGCAATATTATGGATAGAGGACTCATATTTTAGTTAAAAACGTCTTGATGGATTTGTTTCAGCTTTTGTCTTCTCCAGACGTTAACTGATGGACTGGAGTGGTGTGGATTATTGTGATGTTTTTATCACGTGTGTGGACTCTCATTCTGACGGCACCCATTCACTGCAGAGCATCCATTGCTGAGACACTGATGCAATGCTGCATTATTATTTTTCCTAATTGTTTCAGTTTTTACACTGATCAAATTGACTATACTGTATGGAAACATTCACCAATAAAGCACTCTGTGTCTAAACTGAACTGAGGAGGTCTGTATATCTGATCAAACATTCGGCTCTGGCATCAATGATTTACCATCAATCTCAAATGTTCCTGTTAGCCTTCTACATGCAGCCGCTCAAACAAAACGCTCTCATACACACACAGTGCGATGTTTAGTAAATCAAGGAGGTTTATCCACTCAGTGTAAACTGCTCTAAACCTTCATTAAATCCATCTTTAGCCCTTTATCCGAACCCTGTCACTGCCTGCTAGAGCTCACGAGCTTTTCACTGCTGTAAATCACTGTAAAGAGTAGGTAAACACTTGCACCTGATGATTTCAATTAATTCCTGGAAGTTGAAGCATGTAATGCTTGATGTTAAAATACTACTAATATTCAAAGACACCTATCCACCTTATTCCCATATACGGAAGTAAGCCTATGGGCGAGACTTCCGGTTCATTAGCCTCTAGGGAAATAACGAGAAGAATAACAACGTGCAGTAAACGGTAAATCTGTTCATTATTCAGAAAGGATGAAATGTGAATTAAAAAGGGACAGTAAAAACATTTATAATGTTATAAAAGTTTCTATTTCAAATAAAAACTTTCTATTCATCTGTGAATCCTGAAAAATAAAATGCATCACGGTTTCCAAAACAAAATTGAAGCAGCACAACTGTTTACAGCATTGCTAATAATCAGAAATGTTTCTTGAGCAGCAAATCAGCATATTAGACATTCATCATTCAGAAAATACACAGAAAATAATATGGTAAGACACACTAATTTGCATTTTTACATGAGGAATAAGGTGGATAAATAAGCCATGGTTTGAGGTCAGTAATATATATATATATATATATATATATATATATAAACGAAATTAATACTTTTATTCAGAAAGGATGAAATGTGAATTAAAAAGGGACAGTAAAAACATTTATAATGTTATAAAAGTTTCTATTTCAAATAAAAACTTTCTATTCATCTGTGAATCCTGAAAAATAAAATGCATCACGGTTTCCAAAACAAAATTGAAGCAGCACAACTGTTTACAGCATTGCTAATAATCAGAAATGTTTCTTGAGCAGCAAATCAGCATATTAGAATGATTTCTGAAGGATCATGTGACACTGAAGACTGCAGTAATGATGCTGAAAATTCAGCTGCGCATCACATAAATAAATTATATTTGAACATATATTTACATAGAAAACAGCTATTTTAAATTGTAAAAATATTTCACAATTTTACTGTATTTTTGATCGAATAAATGCAACTAGACATCTTTTAAAAACATTTTTAAAAATCATACCAACCCCAAACTTTTTTTTAGCAACACTACAGTGCTTTCAGGCAATGCAGGTCTGGATTTTTCTGTTTCAAAGCTCTTCTCCATCATTTGTTCATCATTTTATGCTCTCAGCTGCCTGGCAACCATATGACACCCTACAGTTAGAGTAATACTGCCTGGCGGAACAACCGTTTATTGTGATTATTATTGTTAACACATGCAATTTTTATTGAACACTGGTATCTTTCATCATACCGCCACAGATTGTGAGTTGCATGGATTTTACATCTTTAGGGGTTAGATTTTATAGATTTATTTAAGTGCATGGCAAAATCTCCAATGCACAGCCTCAAGTGACATCCTCTCTCTATGGATTCTGTCTTACCTTTGCAAACCTGCGCATGAAGTGAGCGAGAGCTTGAGGGTTTGGACACTCCAGCTTCTTAATGATCTCAAAGCTTTGGTTGAGCTGCGTGAACACATCCACCACCGAGCAGGAGAAGAGAGCATGCTCTGACGTCTGCTGGAACTGTAATCAAAACACCACAACAGAAGCATTAATAAACAATTTTATAATTTTATGTTTCCCATAATTTCAGCATTTGCTACGTAACGGGAAACAAGGTTCAAGAAGAGTTTTACAGCCTGACTCCAGGCTGCCATTAAGTTCTAGTATGGTTCTTCAAAGTGCTAGTGTTTCAAGGATCCAAGAATGGCTTTATTTTTTCTTTTGTTTATAGAATATCCCACCCAAAAATGAACTTTAATGAAATTTTATTCACCCTAAGGTCACTCCAAAAAATATACTTTTTTGATGCTCTTAATTTTGCCAATATGCACTCGAAAATGGCATGGTTCTTCAGTAGTGATTCAAGGACCCCAGAAAAGCTTCATTTTGTCTTTTGTTTATAGACTAAAACTGAAATGTCTTTAATTCACCAAAAATATAGACGTTTTATGAGTTTTTTTGATGCTCTTTTGCATATGATAAACAGTACCATTCAAAAGATTTGGGTCAGTGAGATTTTATTAATTAATTATTTAATTTGATTTAATTTAATTTAATTTGTAACACTAACTATCTGCTAACATTAGTTAACTACATAACATTAACATGAACTAATGACCTCAATCTGACCTCAGACTTCAGAGGGTAGTCCGGACTGCTGAGCGAATCATTGGTACATCCCTCCTTTCTCTCCAAGAACTGTACTCGTCCAGAGTGAGCAAAAGGGCTGGCAGAATCACTCTGGATCCCTCACATCCAGCACACTCCCTCTTTGAACTGTTGCCATCTGGTCGACGCTACAGAGCACTGAGCACCAGAATGACCAGACACAGGAACAGTTTCTTCCCTCAGGCAATCCATCTCATGAACACTTAACAATAACTGTGGAACACACACTATTTATACACTCATACACTTATTTATCTAACACTCATACTCAGTCTACACCTCAAATTTGCACATAATATACAGTACCCGTACATACAAAAACGATCTATTGTAACATACCTGCACATAAAATTGTCGATTTATATATTTTCATTCCTTATTTATTTGTTCTATTTTTTTATATTTTATTATCTGTGTTTTTTGCTCTGTCACTGTCATTCTGTTACACTGTGGAAGCTTCTGTCACGAAAACAAATTCCTCGTATGTGTAAACATACCTGGCAATAAAGCTCATTCTGATTCTGATTCTGATTCTGATAATAGATATACACTGTGGCGAGGGGGGCATGGTTCAGCGAAGTCTGCAGCGGGAGAGAGGGACGGGAGACGAGCGGTGAGTAAGTAGGTCAAGTGCAAAATGATGAACACCTGTGTCTGATTGCAGTAATTAGCCTGGAGAGACTGGATAAAAGGCAGACTGGAGAACGTGGTGGGGAGAGAGAGACTGGGACTCATGGCCATCCCTTAGCCGGAGGAGGAGAACTGACTGGACTGAGTTTATGCCCTGGGCAGATTGAGAACGCGCTGGAAGCGCCCAGTTTGTGTTTTGTGGAACTTTAAGTAAAGAAATAAAAGAGCCACGAGTCTCCAAACCGCCTACCTGAGTAACTTCCTTCTTCCCACTACGAACTTTGTTACACTGGTGCCGAAACCCGGGCAGGAAGTGATAACGCCGCTGCCATCATGTCATCTCCGTCAAGTTCGCCGTTTGCGGAAGTCATCCACTCGCTCGCGGGCCTCCACCAAGAGCACCATCAAGCGCTGCTGGACATGAGGGAGGATCAGGAGCGTCGATTTCCGGGCCCTCGTCCAGACGCAGCAGGAGGACTGCGAGCTGTTCTGGAGCTGGATAGACCGGGAGGTTCGGGCGGGGGAAAGTCCATCTGCCCCGGCCCTGCCAGCCCACCTGCCCTTGAACAAACTGAGCCCTCAGGATGATCGGGAGGCCTTCATCGCCCCGAGGCATGTGGGTGGCCCCGGACGAACTGGCCAGTGCGCCTCATCCCGCTGCTGTCAGGGGAGGCCCAGATGGCTGCACAGCAGCTGCCAGTTCAGAACCTCCTGGTCTATGACGACCTCAAGCGAGCCATCCTCCAGTGGGTCGGTCGGAACCCCGAACAACACCGTCAGCGGTTCCGATCACTGGAGCTGGGGGAACACGGCCGGCCCTTCGTGATGGCTCAGCAGCTCCGGGACGTGTGCCGCAAATGACTGTTGACCGGGGGAAGTGACGTCGACCAGATCATCGACCGCGTGGTGCTGGAGCAGTTCGTCGTGAAGGGGGTCCAGTGCCACCGGCCAGCGTCGCTGGACCTGGCCATTCAACTGGCAGAGGACCAGATGGTGGCGTGCCAGGGGGGCGGAACCCTGCCCTCTGTCTCTCTCTCTCTCCCCCTCTCTCCTACCTCTAAACCTCTCCCTAGGTCCCGAGCGCAGCCCCGGGTGGAGGGGCGGTCCGGCGCCGGAGTCCGCGGGACTGAGGCCCCTCTCCACTCCCTAGGTCCCGAGCGCAGCCCCGGGTGGAGGGGCGGTCCGGCGCCGGAGTCCGCGGGACTGAGGCCCCTCTCCAGGGGTGCGGGGCCGGCCAGCTCGAGCGCCTCGGGGGTTAACGTTCCTCTGCTCTCTCCAGGCCAATTGCTTGATCCGCTTCCTCCCACCAGGGCGGAGGGGAGGTCTTGGCCGGCCTGTTGGCGTTGCGGGGACCAAGGGCACTCTATTGATCGGTGTCCGGTGATGGAGATGGGGACACTGATCCGGGTCCCGGATGCCCCCCAGGCTGTCCCCGTTCCAGCCGGCATGTACCAAATACCTGTGCGTATTAAGGGGGTTACCTATTGGGCTCTGGTGGATTCAGGAAGTAACCAGACCTCGATCCATCAAAGCCTAATTCAGCCGGCGGCATTGGATAAGAGCTGCATGGTTCGGGTGCAGTACGTACACGGGGATGTGGTGAGGTATCCTAGCTATCCAGTTCCGGGGTCAAAAGCATAACGTGGAGGTCGCAGTTAACCTGCACCTCAGGCATCCACTAATTCTGGGAACCAATTGGCCAGCTTTTAATCACTTATTGGGGTATTTGTGCACGGATGTCTCTTGGGGAGGGGAGGCGGCCGTGCAGGCAGGGGAGGCGGTACCGCGACCGCCTGAGCCTGCGACAGGGGAACCGAGCGCGGCCGAGAGGCTAATACTCCCGGAGTGTGATGATTTTCCCCTGGAGCAATCTCGGGATGAGATGCTGAAAAATGCGTTTGAACAGGTCTGCTCCATCGACGTACAGCCCCTCCAGCCGGCACGGCCCCCTTCTTATCCCTATTTTGCTATTTTAAATGATAGGTTGTATCGAGTGACCCAAGACGCTCAGACAAAACAGGATACAACCCAGTTGTTAGTTCCTAAAAGCCGTCGGGAAATGCTTTTCCAGGCGGCTCATTATAATCCTATGGCAGGACATTTGGGACAGGCAGCAACTTTGAACCGGTTAATGGCCCGATTCTTTTGGCTGGGAATTCACGAGAATGTGCGCAGGTGGTGCACGGCTTGTCGTGAATGTCAGTTAGTGAATCCCCCGGCCTCCCCAAAAGCGCCGTTGCGCCCTCTTCCGCTTATGCAGGTCCTCTTCGAGAGAATTGGTATGGACCTCATCGGGCCATTAGAACGGTCGGCACGGGGCCATCGCATTGCATTAGTCCTCGTGGATTATGCAACGTGATACCCTGAGGCAGTGGCGCTCCGCAGCATTTCTGCGAAAAGTGTGGCGGAGGCCCTGTGTCGTATAATCTCCCGAGTGGGAATCCCGAAGGAGATTCTCACTGACCAAGGCACTGCGTTTATGTCACGTACAATACGCAAGCTTTACGAGTTATTGGGCATTAAATCGGTCTGCACCAGCGTCTATCACCCACAAACAGACGGTCTGGTGGAACGATTTAATCGCACGTTGAAGACCATGATTTGGAAGTTCGTTCACGAAGATGCCAAAAATTGGGATAAATGGTTGGAACCCCTATTATTCGCTGTGCGCGAGGTTTTGGACGTCCTGAGAGAGGCTTGGGAGGAGGGACCTTCAGATAGCAAAAACGAAATTCAGCATGTGCTGGACCTGAGAACAAAACTCCACACATTGGGGCAGCTCTCTATGGAGAATTTGTTACAGGCCCAGGATTTGTTACGGCTGTATAATCGGGGAACCAGAGTACGCAATTTTGCACCGGGAGATAAAGTGCTTGTATTACTCCCTACCTCTAGCTCT